TTACAATAACTCGCGAAAAACTCAATATTATGAGCTCAAATTTTTACTGAGAACTATCAATGGTCAGATACATATTCAATAAAAATTTCAGTAAGATTGAGTGTTCTGGGAAAAAAAAAATTTTAGAGGGGTGGGGGGCCCTTAAGGAAGAACAACTGTATCTTAGTTAATATTTTACAAATAGAGGGAAGCAATTTGCTTAATTACCGCTTCTATGTTTTTTTTTTGGTAGTATTATCTCTACGAAACAGATCTTATTTAATTTTTTATGTTTCAATACAATCATTTTCTTTCTGTATGAATGACGTATATGCTATTCTCTTTAGTACTTGTCGATGAAGAAGTGGATATCGATGTGAAGTTTAGACTCTTCTTTTCACTCACACTCGTAATATGAGTTTCTTCTCTATTCTATGAACCTTGCCCAAGAGAAAAAAATATGATCTCAAATGGAAGGTATCCGTTGATGATGTTTTCTCATAAGACAAGCTGAAAACAATTCGAATTCATGGCCTACTGATAAAGAATTATAGCTGTTGACATAAAATTTTTACTGACACCAAGACATTTCCGAAAAATCTAAAAAGAGAAAATTTCGATCTGAAAATTTCCACAAAAACAATCTTCGAGAGAAACATGTTCGTTTTTATTCAAAGTTTCGGACTTTTTGAAAATGTTTTGCTATCAACACAAATTTCATTTTATATGGCATTAACTCTTTATCAGTAGATCATAGGTTCGAATCTTTTTGAGTTTGTCTTCGTTAGTTTCGCTGAGACCTACTCGTAACTATGATATGACGTCGAACAGCGTTCAACAGTTGAATATATAATTCAACAAAAACTTAAAATGCATATATTGTCTATCAAATTCTGATTAATTTTAATTTTTAAAACATTATTTTCAATTGCTTTTACTTCTAAATATGACCTTAAATATTATATAATGCTATAAAAACAAGAAACAAAAAAACCTTATAATGTAAACCTAAAGTATGACTAGAACTTATGTTTTCTGTGCGTATTTTTATATACTCATCAAAAAAGTAAATTTCTTCGATCAACATAACTCAGTACTATTGAATTTTTAATTCGAGTATTTGTCAAAAGATAACTATTTTGATGTAAAATAATAAGTATTAGCAATAAACTTACTTGTATAAGAGCCGGTAAAAAGAAGAAAAGAATCAATTCTGCATATTTATAAAATATAATTAAATGTGAATCAGTCCAATGATCAGATAAACCACATATAAAATGCTGTGGACGATTATAAAATGGATGTAATTCAAGTAAATAAAGATTTGGTAAAGCCATTATGGATCCACACGACCAAATTAAAATAAATATTAAACAAAGACGTTTACGATAATTAATTCGAGATATTTTAATTGGATAAATTATTGAAATATATCTACAAAAAAGAAAATTATTATAATAAAAAATATAGAAATTTATAGAAAAATTTTTACCTTTCAATACTAATAATAAGTAATGTTTGTACACTAACATAACAACCAAATACTTGTGCAAAACGAACTATTTTACAAAATGATAAACCAAGATACCAAGCAGTAGGCCAGAAATGATCAAATGAGAATTGGACAACATCAAATATATTAAAAATAAGTATAATTAAATCTGCACATGACATATTTACAAGAAGAAGATTTGTTGATGAACAACGAATTTCTATATGATTTGTTATAATTGATAATACAACAAAACTATTACCAATTAGACCAACTATAAGAATAATTATAAAAATTACAATAAGAAATATACGAAACCATTCGGATGGTCCATTTTTAACATTTATTAATATTGTTACATTCATGATGAAGTCTTTTATTGTTGAGTCAATTAGATGTCAAATGACGAGAAGAAAAAAAAACGAGCAACCTAAAGCAAGAAAAAAGAAGAAAGAGCTAGAGGCTAAAAAAGACACTAGATCTTTGCTATCTGCTATTTCAAGTGTGTTTTTTTCGCATGCGTGCGATTATCAAAAAAGAAAATCTGAGAGAGAATTATGAAGATATATAAATAAATAGAGAAATAAAACAAGTAAACTTATCAAAAAAAAAAAAAAAACATGTCCTCGTTTAATCTCTAAGGGCAAATAAATAAAATAAGAAGATAATTTAGTACTATCTCTAAAAAAAAAAGTAACAATAATAATGATAAGAAAATCTATATCATCTTACTAATTAATATTCTTCCATTGTTATTCGTAACATTTGATGAAATATGATCATAAGAATAATGTCTAACGACAAGTTTTTGTTTTGTCAAACAATATGTGACAACCTATATTGATCTTTTTTAATTAAGTGACCGAAATGTCAGTGACTATGGCTTGTCATCTACTTATTCAGCTGCTAAAACAATAACTTGAAGGAACAGAGCATGTCATCGATCAATTTTCTTCTATCATCCTATCGATCGTTGGGTATAAATGAGTGCATATCTATTTTTCTCTTTTGAGTTTTTCAATATGTATGACATTATATTACGGAATAGTTTTTCTCGCCTGCATATTCTTCCGTTGATGTATACGTGCTTTATTTTTATAATCGATACATCATCTTCTGTATTTTTACATATATATATAAAATAGAATAAAAACATGTTGAACTTTCGAAAATACTCGACAACTTCTGTTGAATAAAATACTTTATAACAAATGCTAATTGTTATAACGCGATTCTATATTGTCGAAATTAAAAAGATGATTATACAAAATCTTGGTTATTTTTGTTTTAATACTAATTTATATTTTTGAAGTTGTTTATTATGTTGACAAAAATGAAATTACATTTGTTAAATTTGATTATTCATAGGCAATGACTGCATGAGTTTCCTGTCATCTAGTAATACAATAGATTTAATTTAACTGTGCTAATTTAGCAGAGTGATGAAAGAGGTTTTCGAAGAATTTCTCAAAAATGATCGTAGCAGCAAAACTTTTCCATCTGCGATGAACATCTATGCTACACGCACATATGTTTAACATGTGTAATCTATGAATAACATATAATTGAAGGAAAACTATCTATTCATTTACAACTACTTAGACAACACATGTGTATTTTAATTGTTTTCGTGAATATGAAGAAATCATTATACAAAAACAAAACCAATAGGATTGTTCAACTGCCACAATTAATACAAGTTTTATCTAATTTATGTGACGATAATGAATAACTGTAGGTATTGATTTAATTTTAAGTGTGATGTACATTATATAATACAGTAGTAGCAAAAAGTTTAATCGTTTAGTATCATAGTTTGATGATAAATAGAGAAAATCAACATAGAAAACAAATCTGATGACGTTAGATCCTTTATTCGACAGTTCAAAGAGTTAATAGTAATGGTCGAAAAGTTAATAATATCTTCGGCTAATTTTAACCATTCCCCTTGAAATTTTCTTCAATGAATGTTCTGTGCTCTAATCAAGGTTTCCTTCAAATTAGGTACTGTTTACCTGATAGTGGGGCTTTGTTACGATCATGGTATTCCAACGATAGCATTCAAGATTAAAAAAAAAAAATAATTATTGCTAAGACTTGTTTCACTTTCACTACTATTCTAGCACAATTACATATATCATAGGAATATTCAATCCTGCATATATTTTTTTATTATCATAAACAAAAATTATATAGTTTGCTCACGTCGTCTATTCATTTTCATTCTATTATGAAGTTGTTTTTTTTTTTTCTATAGTTTGTGTATCAAAAGAAAAATAATTATGTATAAGAAAAATTAAGTCAATGAATTTTATTAGTAAAACCAACCGATCGCATGCTACCCTTAAGAGCTCGATGTTGTGAAGCAAATTCTTTATCATATAATTTACGTTCTTCAATACGTTTCTGTTCAACAGATTTATAAGCTGTTTGATTTTGTAAAGCAATTCGATAAAGAGCATCAAGATCAGATGCTTTATGTGTTGTAACAAATTTTCCTTGAACTAATTTTCGTGGACTTGATGTTCCCATTGATGAAAATGAATAAAATGAAGATGTTTCAAATGATTGTTGTTGTTGTTGTTGTGTTTGTTGTCGTATCATATTATTTGAACTAGTTGGACGTCCATCAAGCATATTTAATAATGGATTAATTCGATGTGGACCGGCTACTTGTTTATTAGTTGGTGATGTTTTTGGTCGAAATAAACTTTCACCAAGATTGATAATAGAATCAGAAGTTTTTTCTTTTTCATTTTCTAATAATAAAAGTAAAGGACGAAGTGGTTTAGATGGAATTTCATTTGATAGTGGTGATGCTGTTTGTTTACGAACTATAGGTTTTGATTTTTGTTTGAGTTTAATTGATTCTATAAAATAAAAAATTAAAACTTTATACATACAGATTTCAATTTTAATTATTAAAATAAAGATAAAACTGATAATGATCGATATTTTTTTATCTAATATCAAACGTACAGTGCAGATTCATATGATATAAAAATAAATTCTTTATCCCCACTGTCCTCCAACTTGATCACGGCAGTGAAAGAACGATTGTAG